TAACATGACACTGTGGAGGTGAACTATACCTCACAGAGTTATTCTCCATTACAACCTCCCCCCCCCCCTCCCAAATATAATGAAACCCTTTTTTTTGCCTCTTCAGACATTATAAAAAAAATATTTGATAAGAAGAGAAGTATTAACTAAAGTTTGAAGGAAAGTTTTGAATGGATTTTTATAAAATTCTAACGCCTTTAAATAAGGCAAGTCCTAGCTTGGGGTGCAGAATTTTTTTAGGTAAAACACAATATAATACCACGTTTTATATATTTGAATTATTGTTATGTCAGTTATCCGCAGAACACTTATTGATGAGCCCAAAAATTAGTGTAAAACACAGTAAAATACTACGTTTCACCAAAACGTAGTTTTACACTAAAAAATAAATTATCAGCCCTGCAGAACATTTATTTGGTGGGCCCAAATTATTATAAAACGCAGTATTATAATGCATTTTACTAAAATGCAGTATTATACTGCGTTTTACTTTAACGGCGTATTATACTACATTTTATGTAGAAATGTAAGTCTTTTTTTAACCGTAAAAACATATTTTTTGTCCAAAATGGCATCATTTCAGTTTCAGACTCCTCAAAAACTAGCTATCTCTGGACCATTTACTTACTACTGTACTAAGTACTCTTTTTTGACGCAACATTTCTAACATGGACTTAAAAGCAACCAAATATTTGAATATATGAGACATGATTGCCCATAGCTCCAAAGACTTGAAAAATTAGTGGTATCGGTATAAGTCTTCTATATTATGTGAATCAATATATGAATACGATTCTCATCGTCTCCTTTCCAGAAAAAAATGAAATAACTTCAGACATATTATAGAAATTAATAGGTCAAAAAGGTAGTGAAATGCATAATTCTAAAATCCAATCAAGGCAATATTCATACATTAGCAACGACATCTCTTTCTTCCAAGCAAACAGCTTTCCAATATAAAAGAGCATTGATTCTCCCTAGGAGAGGTACATATATTCCTCTATAAACAGCAATTTTTCTTTTTCTGCGACCATCATGTTACTACCTTTTCTTACCCTTTTCCAGCAGGGTTGGGTGTGCGGTTTGGAGGGGGTGGGGTGGCATGGGGGTTGGAGGAGCAGCAGCAACAACAACAAATTGGAATCACACAGGTGCGGAAGTAGGCATACATTACTCCTACTTTGGAGGTTGGAGGATCAGATCTTTAGCAAATATAAATTGACTTGACAGCAAAACCAATCTAATATTAACCCTAAAACCTATATCCTGAATAATATCATAACATAATAATCACACAGTAAGAGATAATTTGCAAAAATCCTAACTTTTTTTACTGAAAAGGAGTCATACTTGATCAAGATATTCTTACAATCAGGGAACCTCAAATCCCATATGGCATCATCTTACCTGAAACTGCCTTCGCATTTCCTTCTACAAAACCTAATATACCTTCCAATTTCAACTAGAATCCAGCTTCATCTGCACTTCAAAGCTTAAACAAGCAAAATATGTACAGGAACAATTGAAGCCGGTCAAAAATAGAGTATGAGAAATTTGTCGAGTTTTGTGATCATCTTTGCTAGCATTTCCTTAAAGTTGTCAAGCATTTGCCGATTGAGATGGCAACCTAGGATGGTTATGTTCTCCCTCGTAAGTGACAATAAGCATTGAAGGCTCTTCCAAACATCTCTCGACATGTTTCCGTGCAGGACAGCCTCTCATGCTACTACACTTATAGTATCCCCTGCAAAACCCAAGCAATGTTTTAGACATTAGTTACTTTCCGAAATCAACCCGAGTCTGTTTTGCTTGAATCATAGCAATTGCACAACTGGAGCAGCAAAGACCGAACCACAAATCCCAGAAGCAATGTGACATTCTCCAGTTTAGCAACATTTTGATGAACAATATCAACCATTAAAACATCCCTTTCAGATGACAAGGATGGTAAGGAAGCCAATAAGTTAATCCTAATGAATCGTCCAAAATATAAGAAATTTCAAGGTGTTGCTATCTCCACCACATAAATAAGATAAACCATGACATAAAAAAGCAAAACAAAGTGGGAAAGATGAACCGGTAATAATGACACATCAACTTAGCTAAAGGCAGATCCAGGATTTAAGCTCTATAAATTCAATTTTTAAGGTTCTTAGTATTGAACCTATTGCATTTTTAAAGTTATGAGCTCATATCTATAATTTCAAAGTTATGGGCTCAAATAAATAATTTCTTACAACTTTAGTAGATTTTTACACATAAATTTATACTCTGCATCAGAAGTATTGGGTTCAGATGAACCCGGTATTTATATATTGCATCCGCTTCTAAATTTAGCAGGAAAAAATAACACGGTAGTAAATACACAAAGTCCAATCATTTGGGATAAATGTAACAGAAATATACTGAAAGTGCACTATTATAAGGTTGTGCGAAAGAGATGATAAGGTAATTTTGTGACAGAAAACAGAAGCATAGACAGACATTATACACAATAACTCCGGTAATATATAGATGCAATCATGGAAAAGCCTAATGCAATTAGAGTGATACTAATAGCTCAAGTATGCAGACAGTACTGCTAATTTAGGTGTGCATCTTACAGGAAAAAATCCAAATACCTAGGGTGCGGAGAACCTTTGATCGGCTTCTGTCCATACTTTCTCCAAGAATACTCATCGGGAGGAATATCGGCTAGCTTGTTACTTATAGCAGGAACCTTGATTGATCTTTTTACCCTGTGTTTCCTGTTAAAAGATAACCCGTATGCTTGTAACTACATCTAAGACATAAAAAGATGCAAAGGGGGAAATATATGATGCCTAAAATTACATACCTCTTCTTTGAACAGTGACATCTACTACTGCTTCCACATTTCACAATTCCCTCCTCTCCCTTTCCAGAGCACCTTCTCTTCTGTTGAAATGAGCTCTGATCCGCAGAGCGAGAAGCTCCAATTAAATGGAAGGCATTACCATCCAAATTAGCAACACTACCGTCAATACTCAATGAGGAGATAAAAGACCTAGTGGATGACATGGTCGGAGTACACGTTGAGCTATCGAAATTTAGACTAATCCCACTATTGCTACGCCGGTACATCATATCTGCCTGTTGTTTCAATTGCTGCTGCTGAAGTTGATACTTCAACCTCTGCTGTTGCTGCTGTTGTTGAGCAAAATGAAAGCTTGAGGAAGGTGTTTGTTTGGCTAAATGAAGAGAGCTTTTATTATGTGAGCTTAATTCCAGTAAAGGGTATCCTAACGTAAGAGTGCTTTTCACATTAGAACCAATTTCTTGAACAGGAATTTCAGGAGATTTGACAGGCAGCAACTGAAGGGCTTTAGGGTGATCATCAGTTTTGCAAGTTGGGTTTTCTAAAAGGAGGTTTTGAGGAAAAGGGGTCAGAATTTTCTTGGCTTTTCTTACTCTTGCATGACCCAAATTGGAATTTAGAAGGGTAACCACTTTCTTGAATTTGTGAACAGCCTCTCCAGTTTCTCTAACTAAATTTCCATACTGTTTCTGATCATGTTGTTGAGTTAACAGACTAACAACTCTATGACAACTCTCAACTGCTACCCTGTTAGCTTCCTCAATCTCCTCCATTTCACTAAAAAAAGGTACAATAAAAAAAGAAAGAAAGAAAGAGCCCTAATTCCTAAAATAGAAGAGATTCCAACCAAAAGATACAACCCAAGAAAAACTAAACATCCTTGAAATAATTTAGCTCAAGAAAAGTAGCATCTTGACAGCATAGCAGATGGAAAATGAGAACATACAGTGAAGGTAATCAGCATCCAACAGAGGTAGCAGAGCTATAACATTGAGCAAGAAAGAAAACAAAGAACAGACCTTTACTTATGGGGTTGTGGTGTCAACTGTCAAAACCCTAGATTCTCCAATTTCCATAGGGCTGTGTTGATGGAGAGAGAGAGAGGAGAGTTTGGGAGGCGTGAAAGAGAAGACTTCGGTTAGCTAAAGAAATTTACATGCCCAAAAAAATACAAAAGCTGCAATCTTTAATACTTATTTGTTCAAGAAAGAGAGATTAGAGAGAGAAACAGACAATCACTAGTGAAGAAATCAACATTTCTTCAACCCTCTGACAAAGAAAGAGAGAGATTACTGAGTAATTATTTTTTTTCTTTCCGAGGGTAACATATTACTAGTAGTAGTATAGTACCAGTGTTTGTTTATTGTGAATGAAAAAGTAAAGAAATGAGAGTCTTTGTTTAGTTGAGAGTGAAACTGCCGTCACAGATTTCAAAGGTTGGGTCCCAATATTGGAGCTTACCTTTGTTATTCCACGCATCTTTTTTCAATAAGTATATGTCCGCATTGCTTTTCACTACTTCCAACGTGGCCTCGCATCTTGTCCTTTTCCCTACAAACACCATCTTATTCACTTATTTCCATCCTTTTTAATCTCATTAATAATTAATCCCTTCCTACGTTTTTCTTGCTTATTCTTGTTCCTTTATTCCAATTAGCTAATTTTATACCAAACATTTGCATAAGACAACACTGCTCCATGCTTAAGTCCAATTCCTTTTTAATTTCAGTTGTTGTAGTCTTGTAGAGGTTCAAAATTGGAAAAAAAAAGGAAGTTTTGAATTCAAACTGGAACAAAAAAATACTTGATAATTTTTCTCATTCATTCCAGACTTGCTGGTAGGAGGTAACAGATATTCTGTTGAATTAGTTAAAGTGCACGATTATAAAACAAAAGACATGAAATAGTACATTACAAAATAACTAAAAGGGATAAACAAGTTGTTTAAGTAAGGGTACAACTTATTTAGTTGTCAATTAAGCAAAGGCTACTGTTATAAAGTGCATATCATTTTCATTGATGCTAACAATATTGTTAATTTGGAGTAACAAACATATAATATAAGCCCATAATGTTGTCCAATTGTCATAACTAAACCAAATTACATTGAACTTTGACACATCAAGAAATTATCCAAAAGGACATGAACACAACAGATACCAACCAAATTTCATGTCCAATTGTCATTTATCTTGTCTTATTTATCATGTGAATATTGGAACTAAACACCGGTTTTGTACTTATCTCGTATTCATGCATGTCCGTTAAAGGCTTTAAGGTTTGAGACGTGTTGATCATTTATTGATTTTTTTATTTATATTTTAATCAAATAATGTTTGTATAAAAGTAATTTAATTATGAGATCACAATTCAAATTTTATCTATGAATTAAAACATAATGGATAGTACCACTCTAACCGATGGATATTCTCCCTTCTCTTGTATAAGTCTAATTTGTACATCAAAATTAAAAATTGACTGGTGTAAATTTTTAATGTATTGTAACACAAATATTAGTCCTGTTGCAAAAAAGAGTTAAGTGGTTCATCGTACAAAAAATATTTTATGATTTTACCAATATTTCTAATATTTGATAGGTAAATGTCACAAATAGTCATACAACTGTGACTTTTTATCATTAAAGTCATATGCAACTATGTTTTCTATAAAAATCACAAGACTTTCACTTTATTCACACACAAGTCATAATTGCCGGAAATTTAATTTTCTACAATATTATTTTTATTTCATTTTTTTTCAATCTCACTAATATTGACCCAATTAGAAGAGGAATAATCCGACCCAAATTAAATTATATTAAAGAAACATAAAACCCTTCCTCCCAAAGTATACGATATTTATCTTCTTATTCATATTTTTAAAATTTTCATCCGAATTGATAGTAATTACTCCATGTGTTAAAAAATATTGTTATATGACTTTAATGAAAAAAAATATAATTATATAATCATTCGTAAAATTTATCCAATTTGATAGTACTAATATGTAACCATCATTAACAATGGAGTAATAAATACTAGTCATTAATCAAACGGGGTAAATGCTTGAGGATTGGATAAACCATTGTGGAAATAGGATGACCTAAATAGTACTAGTAGGACCATACACACACTTTAGTCCAAAGGTGTTTGAAAATGAGGTTGACACATCCATACCTACCTAAATTGTAACATTGGACTTTTTCGTTTTTTCTCCTAAATTTTGCTTTGAATGATTTTCCCTCGCCCGTCGAATTGGCGCAATCGGGACCACCGAGAGCATCCTAGATAGCTAGCCGTTTGGGCGAAATATGTTTATTCTTTGTGTATACTCCATTAGATATGCATGTATTGCATAATTCATTGAATTGCATTAGATTCCCTATCTCTAAATATAGAAGTAACACTTGCCTCTTTTTACGCAAAAGTGTTGTACCCTACACAATAGCTAATTTTATAGTGACTTTATCTGTTGTATTTCCTTCCATTGAAGATGTTGCTTAAGTTATTAATTAATATCAGAGTAAAATCTACTGATAATCCAAAGTTATTATTCCAAAATCACAATGAAATAATTTGGTTTCATTTTCTCTTATATTTATACAAATAGTTTAAGTTTTATACATAAAAATTGTGAAACGTATTATGCAAATAGGTCACTTAAAATGTAATTATAAGTAAAATTTTAGAATAAACATCGATTGTTTATCTGAAAAAATGGTAAAAACTTGTTAACTGGTTAAATAAGCTGATCTATAATGTAAACTTTTTTACACAAGGTATATAACGAGTGATCATATGTTTATGTGCCAGCATTTTGCATTGACAACGGATAATGGGGCAATATTTTACTCTGAAAATGGCAGCTACAGTCCTATCCTATCTCCAAAAGCCAAAAGGGGTTAGGTTCAAAAGCAGTTCCTCAAGTCATAGTCAGGGTTTACAATTGTAGTACTCCGTGCGTATCATTATATAGGTAGTTTGATTCGACATGGAGTTTAAGAAAAAAAAGATTTTTGAAATTTGTGATCTTAAAAGTTTAAGGGGTAAGAAGTTTTTGGGGCCATGACATTTGTGTGACTATAAAAGCTTCTCAATAAGGGTAAATAGGTAAAATGAAAGAGTTTAAAGTTAAATTATTTCCAAATTTAGAAATATGTCATTTGTTTTGGAACAGACTAAAAAAGAAAGTACCTCATTTAATATGAAACGGAGGGAGTATAAGATTAGATGTTGAAAACGGTAACCCCCCCCCCTCTTACAGTGCTTTCATTTTACATTCCACCTACATCTGATGTATACGCCTTGTGAACCTTTTTAGTAGGCGTTTGGACATAAAAATTATATAATTTTTAAAAAATGTAGCTAAGTTGAAAAGTGATATTTAGAATCTGAAATTATGTTTGGACGTGCATATTTTTACGTGGAAAAATATTTAAGTTTTGGGAGTGGGGAAAGAAGTTTTTTCGAAAGCTTTGAAAAATGGTCAAAGTCAAATTTTGATTTTTGAAAAAAAATATTTTTGAAAAATCTCAAAAAACTTACAAAATTTCATGGACAAATATGTTTTTTATGGAAAAATATCGGAAAAGGAAAAAGAAAAATCTATGGACAATGGGCCATTAGTATATGTTAGATAAAGAAAAACAAATATTATCTCGAGCAGCAGGAGTAGTCTTTTTTTGGTTTTCCATGATTCCATCCGATGCTTAGTGTATTAAGCCAGACTATTTCGATCCGTGCCGTGTGAGCCTATTAAACTATCGGATTCACACCACGTAAGGCATATCAAAGGCCTATAAAAAAAATCATTTTCAGAGCTTAAAGTCGAGATCTCTGGGCAAGCCAAGCCGCCCATGCTAAGGTTCGTTGTTCCTACGATATAATTCTGATTTAATTTGCTATTCTTAAGAACACGTTAGGATGTACATTTTCTATGTAAGAAATCGCTGTTGCAATGTCTTTGGTGCTTTAATATTAAACCTTCTCAAAAGAACAATAAACCCCTTTACAAATTAAAAAAAGAAAAAGAAAAAAGAAGGCAACTTTTGGGGAATATTTGTCAATTTGATTCCATTCGAGAGTATTCATGGCCACACTTTGTCAAAGCAGTAGCAGTAGTATTATTATTTAAGTGCAGTAATTGTAACTGCTTTATTCAACTAGTCGTTGTTAAATAATTGGAGAGCAGGAAAAGAGAATTTCAACGGACTACTTACTTTAAAAGGCACAATTTGACTGTTGATATATATATATATACACACTGCTTTTTCTTTTGTTTGCTAAAAAGCATAAAAAAGCTACATCAAAGTAAAGTAGCGCCTAGGGATCCTCTACTTAAAACTGTTTTAGTTAATGCAGAATTTGAAACTGCGAATCTAACAAATTGCCGTTGGGAGTCGGAATCTTTTTATTGTCTTTTTGGATAAAAATTACATAAATAAGTATAAAACAAAAGTTATCTTTCTATATATAACGCCAAAACATACCATGTTATACCTTAACGATAACTTTTACTGTTAAGATATAGCGTGATGTGTTTTGGCGTTATATATACTGACATTTGACTGACAGGTATAGCGTGCTGTATTTTTACGTTATATAACGTAAAAATACAGCACGCTATACCCCTAATTAAATAATCCCCTTCGTCTTCTTCCTCGGCCAGAACGAACCCCCCCTCCTATTTTTTACTTCAACCAGTTTCTAGTCCCCCTCCCCATCGTCTTCTTTAAAAAAAATTGTGGGCCCCACCCGCACACAAAACATTAAGAACGTAGGTCCTATATCGTAGTAGAGCATTGTATTATTGTGGTTTCACAATTTCTGACTCAAATTCACACAAAACACTATATCGAGGTATTTCGATTTATTTTATGTCGAAACTTATATAGTAATGCATATATATTAGTTGATTGAATGTGTTTCCATGTCGTTTTGTGTTTTATTTGCGGAACTAGTATCTTATAGTATAAAATTGAGAAATAATTTTTTCTGTTAATATCAGGATTTAGATATTATTGTTTCCATGTCGGTTTGTGTTTTATTTTTGTGAAACTAGTATGTTATATGTATTTTTGTGAATGTTATGTGATTAAAATGTATTTTTTGTTTATATTTAGTTTAGATTATTTATTAGCGTAGTAAAATGTAGAACCTTTTAGCGCAGTAAACTGTAGAGTAATTTAGCGTAGAATCCTTGTAGTTTAAGTATTTCTTATATTGGTAGATGAAAATATATACTTTGTACAATTAAATAATTAAAAATTAAGAATGTAAATTATAAAACAAACACACGCAAAATTATCAAAATATTGAATTTGATACACATAATTATTCATG